AACTGCGTAACGCTGCCCGCGATATGCTAGAGGAGCATCTCTCGCGCGAGAGAGAGAAAGGGAGATGCCATTAAATCCCCTCGCGCCCATTACACTCGAGGTCACTTTCGATCCTAGGCGTTCGGAGCATAAATTTTTCCAAGTGCTCATTATCCGGTCGGCGTCATAACGAATGACGTACGTAAAACGCGCGGGCTCGTCACGATTTGAAATATATATCGCGGATAGAGATTCGCGGTGTACATGTCACCGTATCCGTTGGATTAAAATCTTTAAAATCCTTAAAAAAATCATTCGAGATGCTTGTGATATTAAGGATGTTTTGTATGTACAATTCTAGTAAAAAGTAGCTGAAACTCAATATTGACAAATATATCCACTTTTGGTGGATTTTGAGTATGAGAAATTGCGTGGAATAATTGCCTTTTATTTTCAATCACTGGTCACTAAAAGATTTCTATAAAGGAAAATTAGTCTAATCTTTATTTTCTTATATTCGTAAGAAAGATTGCTACCACTACAAAACAGCAATTTTTATATTTTCGCAAAATATAATAAATAAAAAAATGTAAAGTTTTATTTAAAAATAAAATTTTAAGAATGTTTTGTATGTACAATCCCAGCAAAAAGTAGCTGAAAACCAATACTGACCAATATCCACTTTTGGTATATATTTTGAGTATGAGAAATTGTGTGAAATATTACTATTTGATCTTAACTACAGTGCAGAGACGTATTTTTTAATATTTATTGCGTTTTTACTAAAATATTCCGAATTTTGTGAATCGAAATGATTAACTTTTGACAGAGAATTTCGCCTTGTGACAGATACATGGCTAACTTGATTGAATTATATTTAATATCTTTTTAATCAGTTAGTACTTGTATAATATTATTTGATCAAATATTTCCGCTGTATCTAAACTTTTGCAAATTTTAAACAAATTCTGAATATTATTTCCATATGTTTTTGTCATTTGAATCGACGTAGTTATAAGTTTCCCATAAGAACATTAATTTCCCATAAGAATGTTAATTCGGTGCAAATTAAAATCCTTATAACATGTGAACGCTTTAGTGAATCGATTTACAAATTGTACTGAAGATTCTAAACATATGTAAGAACATTCTGTACAATTTTCATTAAATTCTCAATATTTTAAAAATAGATACAAAACATCCTTAATGGCAAACACGAAAAAGAAACTTGAATTGTAAGAAACTTGTAAGAAAATTTTTTTCTTTAACTTTATGCGCACATATACACATGTATTCTGATTATGTAATGTGACAAAAATGCAAGTATGATAGTAGATGTATACATTGGAATAATTCTTCAATTTTATTAATTATATTTTTCTATTATTATATTTCTTTTAATGAATTATTAAAATGATCAATTAAGATAAAATAATATAATAATTGTTAAAATTCAATATTTAATTACAACTATTAAAATTAATAATTAATTACTTTAATAATTATTATATTCTCCTATTATTATTTTCTTTTAATGAATTATATTAAAATAATCAATTAAGATAAAATAATATAATAATTATTAAAATTCAATATTTAATTATAACTATTAAAATTAATAATTAATTACTTTAATAATTATTATATTCTTTAATAATTATCATATTACTAAAAAAATATATGTTAATTAAATACAAGAGTAGTGTTTTTTTTTGTAAAGTCCCTCCATTAATTCCATATCATATGACACTCTATGACATCATCACGTGTATGCGTGACATTTAGCATGGCAATAATTAATATATATATTAATTACATATGTATATCATGTTAGTATAACATGATTAACAGACATTTCATTCGAACAAATTCATAAAAGCCCGATTCTCTCAGCTGGAGACCCAGACTCCTCTTGCGCATTTCCTTATCTTTCACGAAGCAATTTATGAATTGGCTACTGTGCGAGTAAATAAACGCAAAAGATATCGTGTAATTTAATATCCAATTAATAATCGATCAAGACAGTGATGCCATAACTCGCGACCGGTGAAATGTTGATTAACCACGAATATACGCGACGCCACGAGCGAATAAATACATTATCGCGCTTTCTTATCGAACGGCGCACCGCTATATTATATATCGAAAATCGCGACAAACTATATCGTAACGTCAGACGCACGCAGACATCCCGCCTGCTACATCGTCGGAAAATTAACACGCGAGATTCTCGTCAGGAGAAATTTAACCTACCTATTCACTACCCTAATCTCTTTTTGCGACTCTAGTATCTCGTAATTAACGCGTAAATAAATTGCGCTTTGATATATGTGGCTGCCCCGCGCGGACACGAGAAGAGAAAAAAGAAGAAAAAAAAAACATCCCGACGAGCGACACCGGAATTAAGCATTCCTGCATCCAGCACGCTGGGCACGTTCGCCGCAAAAATGTCGCATCCGCGCTCGCGGAGGGCGAGTGATTAACTCGGTCGGCGAGAGACTCGCGAGAGACCGCAGCCGCGTATGCGTTATAGTCGATTAGGGATAGCACGGTGCGTTAATAATCCCGCAGCGGTGGGCAAAAATGATCGCGTGCTCGACGTAAATGCCCCGTGCTAGATGGAGGGCAACGTGTGTAACGAAAATTCGCTGTTAGACCGGCCCGGCGGGTCGCTACTCCGCTTATCGCATATCGATCGCCAATCGATGCGCCCGCATTAAAACGATGAGTCTGCGGGGACAGAGGTACATACACGCGGGACGTGCGTGCACGTCGCCGGTGCAGTCGGCAGAGTTAAAGCCGGACCAGACGCATTACTCAATGCACGAGGACGAAGGTCCTTCTCTAAGGCCGCGTACACAACGACCTCGACTGTCATCGAGGGTAACTTTTTCTTTTTTAATCGCATCCTGCGCAGAGAAAAATGTATACCCTATACTTTTTTTAAAATTAAAACCAACAGCGATAAATTACAAAAAATATAAAAAATATTAAGAAAAATTTATGAAGATATTATTTCATTTGATTGTTTTTTTTTATATATATACTTCATATACATATATAAAAATGCTTCACGAAGACAGAAATCCTATTAAGTTTAGATATCAATACCTATAGGAAAAGCAACATATTACGATATGTGCATAAATTAATTTCTAAAGGTCTTTCTATTCTCTTGTGCATATAAATCCGCATGTAAAATTCAAACGTTTAATATTTGTTTCACAAATATTATTCAAAAGACAAACATATCGCGTTTGACAACTGTTATAAATATTAAAATCAAATTCATTTAACTAATACTTTATCTAAATAAAATAATTCAAAAATTTGTCATTTACTTATAATTCGAATATAATCAATAATTTTTAAAACTAAAAAAGTGAATATATAAGTAATCGGGCATAAATTTTTTAATTCAAACAATATAATTCAAGCTAAATACTTGAGTTCCTTATGAATAAATTTCAATTAAAAATTTTAAATAACAATTTTTATCTATTAATAATACAGAAATGATTAAAGAAAAGTTATTATTGAAAAATTATTATGTAAAATGAGAATTTCTCGTTTGAAATCTTATTTTGTTTTCAGTAGTAGACGATCTGTAGTCCCAATAAGATGGCCAACTTATGGAAATGGAATTTTTTCACGTTAAAAAATATACATACGACCACATGTATACTTTGTGATGAAACTTTCAGTGTACAAGTATCTAATGGAAAATTATCAGATTATTTAATAAAACAACATAAAATAACGGAAATAAATAAAAAAATTTTAACTGAAAATTAAAAAAATAATTAAATGCTAAGAAACAGTTGCGGCCTATTTTGCGTCGAATATTTATGCAATTTAAATGAGGAAGTACTGAAAGATATATTTCAAGGAATAAAATCCAAATATAAATTCAATAATGCGGATGTGGAGGCGAATATCTATTCTTCCTTTTATATCCAAATATTAAACCAGTAACTCTCGCTTTACTGATCAACGAACGACAGAATCCATCCATGACAATGGCACGTGGACGAGAAAAATATGTGAGGTGCAAGTGGCTGGGTCGGGAATCGAACCCAAGTTTTTTCCTTTCCGGGAAACTGCTCTAGACCACTGAGCTATCCGGACTTCACACCTAATGCTGCTATTTAACACAATTATATGCGACTCCAGAGTGGTATTGGTATTTTGCTCGATAAATGCAATGTCGATTGCCATGAAGGATCTATGAAAAGGTCGCTCGCTGACCAAATAAGGTGATATATTTTTAGCTGGTACTGTAATTCAAACAAGATTTTCTAATATTAATTAAGCAATTTTTATTTTTTATTCTGTGCAGATCATCAGATTTGAGCGTAGAAATGTACATATAAGTAATCGAGTAAAAACTTTTTAATCCGAAAAATAATTAAAGACTTGAATTGTTACGAATACTTTAATTAAAAATGCTAACAAAGTAATAATTTTTATATATTAATGGTACAATGATTAAATAAAAATTGTTAAATTGAGAATTTATTATTAAATTGAGAATATTGAATAACATATTTTTTAATATTAATTATTGTATTTCTATTGTTTTAATCTTTATGAAATATTATTATCTTATATAATGAAAGGCAAATTATTTAAAAATTCGAGCTAAAAGTTTAATAGGTTCAAAAATTCAATAACAGATATATAAATTTAAAAGTAAATTTAAAAAATTTTATGTTATCGATTTATCGATTTATCGATGTTAAGCGCGTTTACACTATAATTTTAATTTTTAACGACTTTAATTACGGTATATATAAAAATATTGATATCTTTGACGAGAATTTCTTCACCCATTATAAAATAATATTATTAAATCAATACACACACAAAGCAGGCATGTTAGCCAGATTTAGATAGTCTAGCAATGTTTATATTTATACAATCATATGTCTTTATGACACCAGTTTCTATATTCTTCGTATTTTTTCTTGAAATCTCATTTTGTATTTAGTAATATACGAACTGTGACATAGAGGATATCATGTCGCCAAAAACTAAATATACGTATACAAAAGGTATCAAAAATTGGATATGGGATTATTTTTCGATAAAAGATAGTATAAGTTTATCGACATGCGTTATTTGTGGTACAAAAAGGGTCCATGGAAAGTATAATTACGATATGGAAAAAATATATAGTCATTTATCTACTATGCATACGGAAATTTATAAAGAAATTGAAAAGATAAGAAGTAAAGAATGGGAAGTGTTCTTTGAAAGGGTGCCATGCTCAACTGATACAAGCAGCGTTAATGTAAAATGCAAACTATGTGCTCAAAATCCATATGATATAAAGCTTCGACTATACATGCGTTGTGATACTATGGAAACACATTTAAAATACGTACATAACGTTACGGTAAATGAATGGAGAGATCTTAAAAACTGGCGAGACGCGATCCTAACCGAAACGTATTATGACCTGATTGAGGAATATGAAGATCAAAAGATAGAATCGATCAAAAAAACAAAAATGTGTAAGAAATGTAAACATAAGTTTCCATATAGTAATCTATGCATCATGCTCAAGCATTTTATTCAATATCATCCATCCGACATTACCTTCGGACGCGCTTCACCTTCGAAACTATATTTACCTTCGGATATACTACCAAACGGGTAAGAAAACGGCAAAACTCAAATTTTATTAATTTACCTATTTTGAATCATTTATAGATACTATTGCATGATAATAACAAAAGAGAATCATGGATATAAAACTATAAAATTCATATATTTAGCACATATAGTATGTATTTACGATAAATATTTGATATATATATTTGGTATATATATTTGAGTCAATTTAACTTATTGTTAGGTGTTACCGCATAAAAATATCATTACATATATAAATAAATATAAAATTTATTAGTTTAGTATTTCGATAATTGAAAGAGAGAGAGAAAGAATTTGTAAAACTTTATGTAAATATAAATTGTGAATATAAGTATAAAGAATTTCTTTTTAAATAATCGACCGAAAATTTTGGTTTTTTGATATCAAATTTTTAAGAATACTCAAGTTTTTGATAATATTTTAATAATAAAAATATTTTTTGACATTAAAAAATAATAGTTGAAAAATTTAGTGATATATAATTGAAGCTATATTTTATAGTATTAATTAATACAATTATTTTTTATGTTCTAACAGATTACTTAAATCGAATGAGATTGAAGCTATTGTAAATTCTGATGATGCAATGAGGAGCAGCAGTCCATCAATATCTGGTCGATCTGATGTCCTGTCCAGTCTGATGGAAGATATTTATGACTTGTATATTAATTATTGGTCAACAGAAGATGTAGATGCTGCACCGACCATGAATCCACAGTCACCAACATCTGACCTTTTTGATAGCAACCTTCAAGAACTTATCAATGAACGCTGTCAAGAGTTACAATCATCATCTCATCATTCTGATGACCTCCTTCCGATGCAAGAACATGCCAGTTACAAGGAAACTGATAATTCGCCAACAGAAGATGTAGATGCTGCATCGACCATGAATCCACAGCCATCAACATCTTCTGGCCGTTTTAAAAGCAGCTCTGGAAAACCTTCCAGGAAAATCAGTCAAAATGCAAGCAGTGACGAAGATGATTAGTGATATTGCACGAAGCAACACCATAACATCGCTTCAACATCTACACACACAAGTTCGGCCTCTAGATTTGATTTCTGATACTTTAGTATCATTATATTGTAATCAAGACACTCGATGTTCTCCTGTTTATATTGAAAGTATTGAAAGTATTGAATATTATTGAAAGTATTGAAAAACAATGAAAACAATGAAAAGAATTGTTAACATAATTCAAACCATTGACATCTGAATAGATAGACGGAACATTAGCTATCAATTAAGACGAGAAGGACTTTAATCGTTGATAATCGCGGTAATGGGGAACTCTATGAACTTCAGTTGAATTAGGTTACTCCCGATAATGAACGGTTAATAATTCGACTCCAACTTCTTTCATTAACATCAAAGTTCTCTCACATGCATTGTGCGAAGTTGTGTTGTGACTAATGTTATATTATTTTTATATTTATTATATTATTTTTAAATTTATATATATTATTTAATATATAACATATATATTAAATAATATTAATAAATAATATTAATAATATTAATAAATAAATAAATATATATATATTTATTTATATTTATATTTTAAATAATATATATAAGTAATATATATATATATATATATATGTATATATATATATATATATATATATGTATACATATATACATACATATACATGTGTGTATATATGTATATATATGTATATATGTATATTTTATATATTATTTAATATTATTATTGTCATATTATTTTTATATTTAACGACGTTAGCGATTTTCTCCAAATAAACACTCTTTAAACATTTCTGTGAAAATCTAGTTGAGAATCGATGATGTCAATGGAATCGTCATGTAATGTCAAATTGTGCCGAATAGTCGAACGCTCACGGAATTAACCGAAATTCATGCACTCCCCCTTTACTGCAATTATCAGTTACTTCTATCAAAAGGTCCCGTCTGTCTATTCAGATGTCAATGATTCAATCAGACTTATAAATCTTGAAGGAGATGATCAATATCGTAATATCGCTACACATCAATTAACCATCAGCAGTTAATTTAAACAAAATTCTGATTTTGATTAGATCATTGTTTTTGATAGCTTTCATGAGTTTGATTTGTTAAAACATTAAGAATAAGTGAGAGAATTAATGTGTTCTTGATGAATAATCATTTTTTTGTGCCATTATTTTATCTTTTAAATATAACATATTCATAATTGTATCCATTGTTTTTGACGAATATATAATTTATTAATCATCTATTTATCAAGCAAAGATTTTAAGTTTTTATATTGTTTTATATTGTTTATATCATTTATATTTATAATTTATTAGATATAGATACAAACACAAACACAAACACAAACACAAACACACACACATACACACGCAAGCACTCACGCACGTATATATACACACGCGCGTGCGCGCTATACACATCATCATATATTATGACCTATTATTATTTCTAGAAGAATAGTTTTTTAAACGTATTGCATGAACAAATATATTTATAAATCAGTAGATTTTTGTATTTAATTTGTAGAAAATTGTATCAAAAGTGTAGTAAAAATAATGTAAAATTGATGTAAATATTTAAATTAAATGGTATTTTTGATAAGCATAATATTGTACCTTTTTAATTTATAATTACTCCAATACGCACTTAAAAGTTTTTTACATATGTATAATATTCGATTAATATATTTATTTCTTCTTATCATTATAATGTTTTATGCTTTGATGGAACTAATTTCGCTAATTTCAAACTATTTTGCGGTTTTTAGTCATGTCTATTGTAATACTTACGATTGTGAAAATTTTTATAGAATATTTTTTTAATTGATGATTATTATCGGCACAAAATTAGTAAACTAATAAGTTTAGTACCTAATTATAAAAATTAAGATACATTAGACAGATTTAGATAGAAGATTTAATGCTAAACTATGCATATCCATATTTACATTTATATACAAAATTATTCATTTTAATCTGTTTCTTTTTTTTATTATCTTCTATAATCTTCATTATAAGTTTTCGTATTTATAGAGTACTTTATTCCCTTCGAAAGGAATATATATTTAAAAAATACATAAAAGCTCATTATATGTTATATTCGTTATGATAGTAATATCTCACAATAAAAAATTAGATATAACAATATGAGACAACATTAAATAACCTTGCTAATATTTTTCATTTAACCAATAAATATGAACATAATAAGGTATTGCAACAAATTTTTGTAGATACGATAAATTGATATTATAGAAATTGAATACCCTACTGTGTTGAAGTAAATGTTATTTATTTTAAATATATCGTAAGTTTGTATATCCGCGGATATATCACAAGATTTATCACAAGCATGAAATTTAATTGAATATATTATAAATTTAATTGAATATATATATTCTGAATTTTAATAAGTGCAATATTTCAGTGAAGAATATTAAATTAAAACTAAAATTTGGTTTGCTTATTACATAGAATTGATATAAAATAAATTTAATTTTGAGTACATGATAATGAGATTTTCTGACACTTGTGATGAGTATATTTTAAGATTATTATCAAGAATATATTCTTTGTTGAAGAAAACTATTAAAAAATATATTTAAAAAAGAAAAATAAACTGAGTAATCGCTTTTCTTGGTAGTAGAATGATATTTTTCTCTGTGTAACAGGAAAAATATCAGATTATTTAATAAAAGAACATAAAATAACGGAAATAAATAAAAAAATTAACTGAAGATTATAAAATAATTAAATGCTAACAAACAGTAGCGGCCTATTTTATGTGGAAGACACACACACACACACGTACTTTACACAAGTCATAATATTAATATTCATATTATGAATATATTCATAATATGAATATTAATATACTTGAAGATATATTTCAAGGAAAAGAACCAAAATATAAATTCAATAATACGGATGTAGAGGCGAATAGATCTTTTTAGCTAACCCTTCATATCCTTCATAAGTATTAAAACAAACGAGTAACTCTCGCTTTACTAATCAATGACAGATCCATCCATCGTAGCACGTGGACAAGAAATATATGTGAGGTGCAAGTGGCTGGGTCTGAAATCGAACCCGAGTCTTTCGCTTTCCGGGCAACTGCTCTAGACCACTGAGCTATCCGGACCTCACACCTAATGCTGCTATTTAACACAATTATATGCGACTCCAGAGCGATGTTGCGAGTATTTTGCTCGATGGATTGCCATGGAGGATCTTTAAAAAGGTCGTTCGCTGACCAAATAAGGATATATTTTTGGCTGGTACTGTAATTCAAGCAAGATTTTCTAATACCAATTAAGCAATTTTTATCTTTTATTCTGTGCAGATCATCAGATTTTAGCGTAGAAATGTACATATAAATAATGGAGCAAAAATTTTTTTAATTCGAATAATAATTAAAGACTTGAATTGTTACGAATACTTTAATTAAAAATTCTAACAAAGTAATAATTTTTATATATTAATGGTACAGAAATGATTAAATAAAAATTGTTAAATTGAGAATTTATTATTCAATTGAGAATATTAAATCACAAATTTAATATTAATTGTTGTATTTCTATTATTTTAATCTTTATTAAATATACTTGAAGGGCAGGTTATCGAAAAATTCAAGCTGAAAATTTAATAACAGGTTCAAAAATTCATTAACAAATATATAAATTTAAGAACAAATTTTTAAAATGTTACATTATCGATTTGAAGGGCGATTATATTGTAATTTTAATTTTTAACGGTCTTAATTATCCACGGTATAAATAAAAATATTAATGATATTTTGATATGATGATATTTTTCTTTGTGTGCCGCGAATTGCCAGGGATATTAAAACTCGAGTGTTTTAATAAAACTCTTGTAGGAAAATAAAGTTGAATAATTCGATTAAAACATCTGTAACGTCATTTAATCTTTAGGAATTTGACAAGCGATAATATCTTTGAGATTAATGATGCAATACATTGATCAATTTATTTCATCTTTAGAACGCATAATTATATGAAAGATGATTCGAAAGTTGACGTTGCGGAGAAACAATTTTTTTTCTCTGATTCTTTCACTTGAACATTCAATTTTTCCAACGAAAAGCTGCTCTTATTTCCAAAATATCGATAAAAGAAACTTAATTATTTTCCCAAGTAAATAAAAGTAAACTCTTTTTGTAAAAAGACAAATAAAAATAAGATCATGATGAAATATGGTTTCATGATGGAACATTATTAAGTAATGTAAACCTAAACGAGCAGTGTCCGGACAAGCTTTGCGGATCTGAAAAAGCGAGTGGTACTGCATTCTCAGAATTCCCGCGCCCTTGAGTCACACACTCGCGACCTAACGAGGGTTGCTCCGCACGTTGCTCGTTACGGTAACCGCGACGAGTAATAGCGCTATTGAAAGGCGAGCGGCAATGACCGGTGGTGACGATGACAAAATGTTGGTTGGCCGTACGTGATGCAACCGTCGCGTCCTATCCAAGTCGGACCGAGTTGCCGCCGTGATCTCGAGACCGATCGTCAAACCGGCGAAGTCCAATCAAGCGTGCCGCTGCGCGTCACGTCGTGCCGGCGAACCGGTGTTACATGTTCCTCGAGCGTTTTTCCCCGCGCGACATACAGCATGGGATATGCTCCGAAACATTAGCGTGTAACGTTCTGTCGGCGCTATATATTTTCGTGAAACATTTTACAGTGGGAACGATATATAAATCACGAGATTTAAATCGTGTTTATCACGTGTGCGACTTTTACACACGAGATCGACGGAAACTAGGGTTGGCAAAATTCCACATGTTTGGATAAAATTCATGTCGGGGAAAACCAGTATTTTACGGGAAAAAAACTGGCGAAAAATCCTTTACGTTAAAATTGCTAAAATAAAGAGATTTTTTTTTCGTCAATTGAGAGTGTCTTTTAATTCAAGTCTTATCTAAAATAAAACTCGACAATTAAAAGTCGACGCAGTAAAAAAATTTTTTGTTAAATGTTGAATAGTAAACGCGAACTACATTTATGTATATATATATTTTTATATTAAATAAAAAATTATTATAAAATTCAGTAATATTTATATCTCTAAAATGTTCTTGTTTCATACATTATTTTTAATTTTAGAAGATTTTATACTAATTTCATTTTTTTAAATTATACTTTATTAATTAAAACAAAAATATCTCTCTGCATAAAATTATATAAATATATTTTAGTCATATATTAATCATAAGTCATATATTAATATCATATATTAATATATATTAGTCATATATTAATCATAAGTCATATATTAATATCATATATTAATTCTTGTTATAGTTTATTTCATTGGATAAAGTCTGACACCGTAAAAACCGGAATTTACTTTCATG